CACCAACCCAAATTATATGTCTTTTCCTCCAACTGTATCATATCTTTCATCACGAGTGATGTAGCTACAACAAGTGATTCGATAATCATATGTAAAGAAAAGAAATCGAGAGAGAAAAAATCAAGGGAATAAATCCTATATAGAAAAGCTTATGAAAGAAAGTTTTCCAACCATTCCAAATAGAAGAAGACTATACATGCACAATAGGGAATCTTATCAACTTTAAGCTGGCAAAATTTCTCAAAAACTTGAATTGAAGGAAAGTAGGATCAATTATTACGATTGAATCCAAAGCAGACATAAACTCATCAAAATGTACTTAGAATGACTAACTTAAATCAAACAACCCCTTTACAACCGAGTTAACCTAAAAAAAGGTTGATAACCAATTCTCAATTTCATTACAAGAATACCAAGTAAGTAAAACGGAAGCTGAGAATTTTCAATTTTATGAAAATTCCGCCAGGTAGATTTTCTACTAAAGAGCATGGATTTGATTATTTATTAATATTCATTTATTGTGAACCGTCACCGCCTCTACAAAACTGAACATGGATCATAACTTGCAAGTAAATATTCTTGGGACTGCATTGGATGAGTTGTAATTCAGCTCCATGTAATACATTCTGTAACATCAAAATTTGATTGTGAATAAACCTTTATACCATTTCATTTGAGCTAATGAGCAACAGACATCACAAAATGCTTCAACATAGAAGCTTAAAATAGCATCAAGATGAAATTGATTCCATCTTTTTCCAAACCAGGGCCGTTTTTTAATTTGTCTGTGAACCCCGAATCGTATAGAAGCATAAGAAGCAAAAGCGGGGAATGAATTTCAAGCTAAACCAGTGAAAGCAGTAATGCTCTTGGCAGTGTGATGAAACATGTGAAACTGAGAAATCATTTTCTCACCGTAAGCGTCCCTACCACACATTAGTTTATAATTAAGCTAAAATACTGCACATCTACCTATCAAGTTAAAAATAGAAGCATAAACTATAATTCTTGTTTAGATCTTGATTGGTAGATGTGTCTGATCTATGATACTTCGAACAAGAATTATTATACGAAGTATTTTAATACTTAGAACAATGGTAGGAGGATGGTTCGAACAATGCGAAGTATTTTAATTGAGCTAAAATAGAAGCATCTCTTAATTTTCTTATTTAGATCCCCTAAAGGGGTATAGGATCATACTCCAGCTCCATATTTCTTCTAGATAATCATACTAAGACAAACATATCTTCATGATAGAAAATCTAGTGCACCAATTTTCTTCTAATGGACATCTAAGCTAACTAACGTTTACTAAATGGCAAAACATTTAATACCACTTTATCAAGCACCATTTTTCCCAAATCAGAAGTAAAGACAATCACAAGTTAGTTTTCTTCAGAGAATTGGGCAGAGGATACACCCACACACACATATATATCCTTGAAAATACATGTCTAATACATCCTCTTAAAGAAAAGGTTTGTCAATGTCATAATCACCTCTAACTACCTCAATGTTTCCAGCAACATCGTATGTTTAAGTTGAAGCACAAAATTTTGCTCAAATATCAGCAAACCTAGTAACCATAGTTGCCGCTTGGTTCAATCTGTAGACCACAAACTATGAGCACAACTTCACAAATTATCAAGGCTACAGGTAAACAAAAACTAAAATAAAATTATCAAATGACCAGCAAAATACTAAGGGATGAACACACCTGGAAGAAGACGGAACGGAATACCCTTTGTGGAGCACGGTAATTAACTAATCAACTTCTAAAAGTAATTAAAATCAACTTCTAAAAGTAAAAATAGAAAAGAAACATTGATTAATTAGAAGAACATTATGTTAAAGGAATTCACGAGAAAGGATTTGACTCTATATTCCTTGAACTTGAGACAGAAAAATAAGCTAAATTAAATTGAAATTACCTAGTAATTGCCCTCTCCATCTACCGCTTAACATGAGATTCATCATCATTCTCAGGTGCTCCAGTACTCAGTAATTGGCAGCTGGCTGGTATTTCATGTTGTTCCGGCCAGATATAGTGGAAGGCCAGAGGTATTCCGTCGACATCTCTCAGATGCTTCAGAGTGGATTTATACGATTCATTTGACCTGAGAAGGGGATGAATGAGGGCCATTGAGTTTTTATTACTACGTATTATTAATTTGTTATTATTACTACTACATTATGGAAGATAGACGGGCTACGTGACCCACGTCGTCCAACTTTTGCTGCTAACGGAAATAGTAACGGAGTGGATTTATCAAAATAATTAGGAGGCAATAATTAGTACGGAGTACAAGAGCTGAAACATACGGCACAACTACATTTAGCTGAGGAGGTACACCAACACATTTTAGATCCCATAAGGGCTTTAACCCTCATTGACATTTATAAGTTTTTACTTCTAAAAGTTATTAAAATCAACTTCTAAAAGTAAAAATAGAAAATAAACATTGATTAATTAGAAGAACATTATGTTAAAGGAATTCACGAGAAAGGATTTGACTCTATATTCCTTGAACTTGAGACAGAAAAAATAAACTAAATTAAATTGAAATTACATAGTAATTGCCCTCTCCATCTACCGCTTAACATGAGATTCATCATCATTCTCAGGTGCTCCAGTACTCAGTAATTGGCAGCTGGCTGGTATTTCATGTTGTTCCGGCCAGATATAGTGGAAGGCCAGAGGTATTCCGTCGACATCTCTCAGATGCTTCAGAGTGGATTTATACGATTCATTTGACCTGAGAAGGGGATGAATGTGGGCCGTTGAGTTTTTATTACTACGTATTATTAATTTATTATTATTACTACTACATTATGGAAGATAGACGGGCTACGTGACCCACGTCGTCCAACTTTTGCTGCTAACGGAAATAGTAACGGAGTGGATTTATCAAAATAATTAGGAGGCAATAATTAGTACGGAGTACAAGAGCTGAAACATACGGCACAACTACATTTAGCTGAGGAGGTACACCAACACATTTTAGATCCCATAAGGGCTTTAACCCTCATTGACATTTATAAGTTTTTACTTCTAAAAGTAATTAAAATCAACTTCTAAAAGTAAAAATAGAAAATAAACATTGATTAATTAGAAGAACATTATGTTAAAGGAATTCACGAGAAAGGATTTGACTCTATATTCCTTGAACTTGAGACAGAAAAAATAAACTAAATTAAATTGAAATTACCTCGTAATTGCCCTCTCCATCTACCGCTTAACATGAGATTCATCATCATTCTCAGGTGCTCCAGTACTCAGTAATTGGTAGCTGGCTGGTATTTCATGTTGTTCCGGCCAGATATAGTGGAAGGCCAGAGGTATTCCGTCGACATCTCTCAGATGCTTCAGAATGGATTTATACGATTCATTTGACCTGAGAAGGGGATGAATGAGGGCCATTGAGTTTTTATTACTCTGTATTATTAATATATTATTATTACTACTACATTATGGAAGATAGACGGGGCTACGTGACCCACGTCGTCCAACTTTTGCTGCTAACGGAAATAGTAACGGAGTGGATTTATCAAAATAATTAGCAGGCAATAATTAGTACGGAGTACAAGAGCTGAAACATACGGCACAACTACATTTAGCTGAGGAGTTACACCAACACATTTTAGATCCCATAAGGGCTTTAACCCTCATTGACATTTATAAGTTTTTATTATTATTATTATTATAGATTAGATCACAGACGAATTGCGAGAGGTACAACTGAATTGAAGGGTTTGAATTAGGGTTAAATGCTTTATAATGGAGTATTAATTATTAATGGACCACTTTTTTTGAAAAAAACTTAAATGAGTCATATTTTTGGAATTGAAAACATACTAATATAGGTGCCATTCTTTCTAGATGTAATTCCATAACTTTTACTTAGTTTTATAGTTATATATTCATAGTGCTTTTAACACCTAGCTATGATGAAGAGAGATATACGGAGTAATAGATTAAATATTCACAGCACCTTTGAATGAGGCATATTTAGAAATTATAAAACATCATAAACTTTCGTCCTGGGTTTAATGCACCAAACCCCATGGTGAAATGAAAATTAGGCGCATTAGCCCCTTTTGATTTAAAAAATGCGTCAAACCCCCTTGTGTTATAATAAATTATGTGCAAAACCCCTCCAAAAACAAAAATCGTAAAATTTGTTCTTGGATGGGGTTTGGCGCATGATTAATTATAACACAGGGGGGTTTGACACATTTTTTAAACCACAGAGTGATGCTCCGAATTTTTATTTCAGGAGAGGGTTTGGTGCATTAAATCCCTTTCGTCCTTGACACAATTGGATTTTAATAACAAATTATAATATTTTTAATTTTATGAAGTGCCTCAGTTAGTAAAAATAATGTATAAAATAGTCATTTTATTTCTTTATGAACAGGGTCGTAGATGAGGGCGTGAAAAGCGTGCCTTTGCACAGGGCCTCCAAAAATATAAGGCCCGTTTTTTTGTAAAATCTATATAGTGTGCATATATAGGCTAATTATTTTTGTAAATAGTTGATTACTTTATTTGTCCGAATGATCTAACTATGCAGGTTATTTAACCAAAGGTAAAAGTTCATTATTTCTTATCCTATTTCTTTTCCAATTTTAGATTTTTTTACAAATTTTATTTGTTCAAGTTCGAAAAAGTGATCATTTCTTAATCTCACAATTGTTTGTAGTTTTTTCGGATTTTCTTAAGCTTGATTTTTGGTATTGTTTTCATTTAATATAAGGCCTATTTTTTTGTGACTCGCACCGGATTTCCTAATTTATTGAGCCGACCGTATTTATGAATAATAAAAAATATAAACGAATATCCATAAAAATCAAACCCAGATCCACTTGTCCAACGCTAATTTTGGGAACAAACAAAAAAAGAGCAATTCTTTTTCCTTCAAACAAACAATTTTGATGGAAATTTATTCACAAATACTGGGTAACAAATGGGACTACGAAAAGATCAGTGAAACGAGTGGTGGTAGCCTAAATTTGCTGTCCACCCCACAACTCCTCGTGAGTAGAGACCCACACGACCTTCCCACTGCTTCACATTTCACACTTGAAACCACTTAAAAGATATACGGAGTAATATATATATATCTCTCATTCATTAATTCATTATTATTTTTATTCTCCATTGCCATAAACGAATGTAAGTTCTCATCCTTTCTTTTGCTTACGCATTCTTTATGCATTTTAGAATTCATTTGGTGGTTTATGTTCATTAAAATGAGTTTTGTAGATGACATTGATTCCTTTTTCCTTTATTACTATTGTTATTGTTATTATTATTTTTATTATTATGGTTATTGTTATTAGGGAAAAGTACGGAAAAGGTACTTGTGGTTGGACCCGTTTTCAGATAGGGTCATGTGTTTCATTCTTTATCAAGTTGGTTCATGTATTTGAATTTCGTTATCACAAGAGGGTCATGTCATTAAAAACGTCTGAAAAAGACCATTAAAAGTAACTCCAATTTTCAAAAGTGTCCGGAAAATTAAAAGAAAAATACAGAAAGGTGTGCCTTGTCGAGATGACCTCCAAACCACCTTCGCCTTTGGATTTTTCAGATATGTTTGAATTATTTTTTAAAAATGATTTCGCTAATATCACTTTTCCGGTGACAAGGGTGGTTGAAAACAAAAAAGAAAGATGGCCTAGCGGTCGTCTTATTGAGACGCATCTTCCGGTATTTTTCTTTTGATTTTCTGGGCACTTTTGAAAATTGGAGTTACTTTTAACGGTCTTTTTCAAACGTTTTTAACGACGTGACCCTCTTGTGATAGACTGATAGCGGAATTCAAACACACGAACCACTTTGATAAAGAATGAAACACACGACCCTATCTGAAAACGAGTCCAACCACAAGTACCTTTTTCCGTACTTTTCCTTTGTTATCATTATTTATACTCCGTATTTTGTTTGGTGTTGGGGGAGGGAGTTTCTCATTATTTTATTAGTGAACAGGAGACCGGTTTTTCAAATTAATTTAGCTGACCTATGTTGGAGTTATTCAATTAGCTAAATATGAAGGAATGGATGGAACCCATAATTGAGTGTAGGAAATTTTTCACTTTTTATTTAAAAGCTTTTGGATGATGAGTTAGTTCTAAATCTTTGTTTTACCATGTTTTTAATTGGATCGAAATCTTTTGATCTAGTCTGGTCCATTTAAATTTGATCTTATTTGAACTGGTCTGGTCGGATAGATGTCTGGTTTATGTGTATTTTATATATAACTGTTGATGTCTGATTTGATTTGGTTAAGTATGAATGTATGATCTAGTCGGTTTAAATCTGGTTTAATCTAGTCTGGGACTGAGGATGTTTTTACTTGGACTGTTTTCAGTCCCATACCAGACAAGACCATACTTAAACAGACCAGACCGGATAAGACCAGACCAGGCTTGACTTCCATAGTTATAAAATGCACATAGGCCGAACATTTACCAGACCATACCAGTTTAGACCACACCAGACCAGACTTAAACATACCAGATCAGACAAGACCAGACCAGACCAAATTACACTCCAAGTAAAAACATCATGAAACTACTACAACTAAAAACATTCTTAACTTGAAATTATATTGATTGTGATTGAAGGGACATTAGATTACAATCAATATTGACTATTGAGGGAGAGGAAGCGGTCCAGCCCAGCTGGTCGCCGACTCACTCTCCCTTACGGGAGGTCTCGGATTCGAAACTCAATGGAGTGAGTTTAACCCTGATTACTTCAGGCACCCCAGACCCCCTCCTCCATACCCCGGAGTAAAAAAATGACTATTGAGGGAATTGGAATATGTGTATTTCTTCGTTCGGTCCTTTCCCAAAAAGAAATTGGTAGAAATGGAATATAAAGACTAAGAGATTGCTCCATTTGTGTATGAGGGAGTATTATTTGTTTAGTCTTCTTTTTATAATATTAGCTTATAAACATCTTATTCCATTAACATTCAACTTATGATTTTCAATGGTGTATGTATCTTTAGGCTTATTTTTTCGTTTATTTGATTAAACCCCTTTTATTTTATTTAATGAAATTCAACAGATTCAACGAAATCAAGGTTTCTCGTGATGAATGAACAATCTACACCACCGGCTAACCACTCCATCCTTCCGGCAAAGAGAAGACGAGGCCGACCACGCAAAGACGGCGGCATTCCTCAAAGAGGATCCTGTCCGGCCCCATCACAACAGCCAACCCCCTCCCCGGAAGTTGTGAAGAGAACTTTGCAGCCTCTTGAGGTGAACCAAACTAGCAATGGGGTTGAAAGCAACATGGTTGGGAAAATGGTTACCGGCGTGATCGACGGTTTTTTCGATGCTGGTTATTTCCTAACCATACGGGTCGAAAACGATACCACTTTGCTCCGTGGAGTGGTTTTCCGGCCAGGGCGGTTCGCTCCGATATCCGCATCAAACGACGTGGCGCCGCAAGCTAAAATGTATCACCGAAAAGACATCCCTGTCCCGCCGAGTCCCACCATCCCTCAAGTTGAAACCCAGGTAAACCAACCGCCGACGGTTCCTCCACCCGATCCGTTTTCCTTGCAAATGACCAATACGCCGTTCGTGCACCAAAGTCATGATCAAAGGTTTCAGATCCAAACCCAATCCGACCATAGACCGGAGAATCTTAGGACGGTGGAGCATGATGACGTCATGCAGGTGTTTGAAATCTCACCACCCCAATCACAAGTTCCCAATGAAGAAGCTGGGCATGATGAACTCATATTGTCAGGCTCGGATCATAACCGGAATCCAACGGGTGACCCGGGGAGCCAATCGGATATGAAAAATGGGCTGGTAATTCCCAATGGTGATCCTGGATCGTTAGAAGCTCCTCTAAGAGGAGAATATGAAGAACATCTTATCAACCAAAGGGACCATAACAGTGAACAAAAAAGCCAGAAAGTGGGGGACACTGGAGTTGCTCAAAATGGAAAGCTTGGTGTGATGGATGATCTCGTGGAAAGGAATGATTGTACGAAGAACAATGAAGCCTTACATGGTTCTTTAAAAGAGTTTTCAACCATGGAAGAGAGAACTGGGAAAATCCTGACACTTGGGATAGGGGGATCAAATAATGATAGGGGAAATCCTGACTTTCTTGTTCCACGACCAGACAACAACATTGAATCTCCCAAAGAAACTCATCATTGATAAAAAGTCATCCTTTACTCTCACAATTTGAATTGCTCTTTATGTGATAGTTATTCTGCTTTTTTTTTATATAGCCGAGTTCTGCTATGAACTTATAAGAACTATATATATATTTCACATCTCTATTCCCTTTTGTTGATCATGAATGACTTCAGAAGTGGAATACACTTATACTCCTTCATGCTTTAGCTCTTTTGCTTTACGTGCCTCCCTCGGTAAACCTATCAAAGAGGGAGCAGATTTATGCGTGCTCAGTAACAAGCACATTGGCTTGATGAATAACTAAGATTTTTTCATCTAGAATATTCAGAGAATTCTGACTATTCATCACGCTTGTGTGCTTCTTAGTGATCATGCTAGCCTACTCCCTATATTTTTTAATCACACAGGTCAATCCAAACAAATTTCCACCAATTGCAACGGATTGGTCTGATTATATATAGAATTGCAAACTGATTAGTTTCAGCTACCGTGGATTCAGACTTTCGTTCAATCAAATCGGACACAATGAGGACAAGAGGAACATACATATACTATAAATATGTCTTTCAAACTTCAGAGGCTAAAATCAGATGTAGTGATGAAAAATAGGAGATAATTCACAATGAGAGATAATTCCCAAACTAGGAGTAAGCTATGACAAAAAAAAAGAAAAAAAATAGGAGTAGTAGTTTAAGTATTAACAAAATAGGAATTTTTTTAGGGATTGAACAAAAATACCCCTACACGTACCCAATCGACTGATCTCCGACCGCCGCCAGTCGGTGGAGCTCTGGCGGTGCAAAAAAAACTCAGATTTTTCCCTAGTCCGCCTGCCGCCACGGCTGGTCTAGACAGACCTGGTTTCCCATGGGATGGATAAAACTGAGGTGAATTGGACTTAGGATTATGTCCTTCACATATGATCTTTTTGTTAGAAATTTAAATAATATTGTGAATTGAAACATTTATGTGTAGTTATGGTACAGATTTGATTCATTTAAAAGTTAAGGGATCAAACAACAACAATACCAATAGTTGAGGTATCATTTATACATTCCAATCGTTGTTCAACCAAGCATTGGATAATTGTTTGAGGTTTAAAAAACGTGATTAACACTTAAAGACCTTTCTCTCATGTGATCTCTGACCCCCAAAAACATATATATAATGAGATCTATCATCTATATAATCCAAATAATGTACAAACCTTGAAGCATAGAGTCTATTTGTAGCTACTACTTATAAAGCAACAAAGAAAAAGAGAATTTCCCTATTTCAGATAACTATTTCTAATTTCTGTTACGCATACATAAAATAAGTGTTTTTACATTTCGTAACAACACTGCCTACAAAAGCAAAACCTATTCTCAATATTTTAGAATCAATATGTCGCATTTTTTGTTGAATCATTTAAATCATGAGATATGCTATCAAAAATATTAAAAAACAAATAGGCTTTCTGCCATAATTTTGTTGGGAATTGATTTTTGTACCCTAAAATTAGTATGTCAAACTTATTTGGATAAAAATTTCATTGTCAATTTTTTTCGTAAATGTTGGCCAATAAGGATCCAACCATGATTCTCTAGTTAATCACAACTAGGGATACGGACATACGGTCTGGGAGGTAAAAACGTTTAGTCTACTTGGATTTACCCCTATCCACTTTCATATCTATTTTCTAGTTTTCTACTTCTGTTTTTTGTTCTCCAATTTTTTGTTTTTATTTTTTAGTTTTTCTATCTCCAATTTTCTATTTCTGCTTTTTAGTTTTCCATATTCAAATCTGAAAACATGTTCATCAATTTTTTTCACCAAGTTTTGAAAACATGTTCATCAATTTTCAGTTTTACTTCACAGGTTATTATATGGTGCTTATTAAGACCCGTGTTAATAAGCAGCGCATAAAATAAGCAATGTTGTAAGATCATGTTTACTTCAAAAGGTTTAAAACACCGTTTAACATTAAAATGTCCAAAATAACCATATACATGTATATATACACACACAAACATTCAAGAACACAAATATATAATATAATATATATGTGGGGTAAGGGATAATATACGAGGGGTGGGGGTAGGGTAGGGTGGGTCGATGTGGGGTCGAGGTGGTAGGGGGTGGCGATAGGGTAGGGTGGATCAAGGTGGGGCCGAGGTAGGGGCATGTGGTAGGGGGTGGGGTAGGGTCATTGTAGGGAAAAGGGGTACGCGGAGTGGGGGTTAGGTGGGTAGGGTAGGGGTAAGGGGTAAGGTACGAGGATGGAAGTACCGGAATGGAATCGACATCAGAGCGGGACCGGACCCACCACTAGGTGTAAGAATGCAAATTCATTGCAGCGGCACTGTAGCATCTTCGTTTTCCAAATTTGGAAAACTAGTAAAAATCACTTTTCTAAATCATTAATGAAAAGAGAGACATGTCTCATTTTTTTCGTTTTGGAAAACGATTTGGTAAACGCGTTTTTCTGTTTTCCTTTCTCCAGTTTTCCAGAAATTTTCTTTGGTAAACACGTTTCCTGTTTTCTGTTTTCCAGTTTTCCAATTTTCTGGAAAACTGAAAAATATCTTTGTTAGTAAATAGGCCGTTAGTATTTCTAATTTGGTCAGCACCGCCTCATTGGCAACGTAAATTCATACAGATTTACACAACTACTCCCTAATAATGAGTGGATCATTCTTTTTTCTTTTACAAGCACATTTTAACTGTGAGGCATTAGGAAAAAATTGTTTAATAGTAAAGGGCTTGGATGTTGTTGTATTTAGTTAAAATTGTTTAATAGTAATTGTTATTCAATTCTTTGAGAATAAAATGTTTTTCAATAAGTAAAAGTTGATGGTGTTTGATAAGAAATATGTTTGTGTAAAAGAAAAAGTGAAAACTGATTTAAAATAACCCTCCACCGGCTTCCAATTTAAGATACTCAATTCAACTATTTTAAGTCAAAAACTCGGAATCACTTAAAATATTCAATTCAGCTATTTTAAGTCAAAAACTCGAAAGCACTTAAAATACTAAATTCAACCAATAAGATTTGGCCTTTCCTCGAGAGGGTAATAAGGGATTTGCATATGCTTCATCAAATTATAGACTTCATTTGCGATTCTTGTTTGGGGGGTTTTCAACCGGCGGCGGACGCAGGATTTCCCGATAGCAGGGGCGGCAGTAGAAGAATATACATACAAATACATATATATTAAAAATTTCGGGGTAAATATACCTAGAATTTTTTTTTTTCGGAGGGGCGGCAGCCCCTCATTGCCCCCCTTTGTGTCCGCCGCTGTTTTCAACTGTTTGTGCAAGTACTTTCTTGTCCCCAAGATATATATCCCCTACTACTTGAAAAATAAAATATTACCTCCGTCCCGAAATTAACTTATCAGTTTGACTTCACACAGATTAAGAAAATAAATTTGACTTTATTGTGGAGTGCACTGTTTTGCATTGTTTGAACACTGTTTGACACTGTTTGGACAATGTTTGACACTGTTTGGCACTTTTTTGATGTAGATTCCTTGCCAAATAAAGAAAGTTTTGAAGTGTGAAGTTAATTTCGGGACTGCCCGAAAAGGAAAGTGAGAAGTTAATTTTGGGACGGACGAAGTAGTACTAACCCAGCCTTTGGCAGGCAGAGATTGCTTATAAAAGGGGTGGGAAGCAAAACAATCTTTCTTCAACCAACCTAGAAGATGGAACTTCCCCCAACCTTCTTCTACCCATTATCATCTTCTTTATGGCATCCTTCCTTCAACCGGCCTCTCTTCTTCCCCACTAATCATTCCCTCCCTCAGACCTTTGTTCATTGGAGAGAGACCCCTGAATCTCACATTTATTCTGCCGACCTTCCAGGTACTAGTCATTCCTTTATAAGTATCTTGGTGTACATGTTTTTAGTACATGAGTTTTATACAATTTAGTTGTGCACATACAATTATACATGAGTCTTAAAATGAACTTTTCCTAGTATAAGTTGGTTTATTGAAACTCCCAACGATGAATTTCATAGAGATTACACAATTTTGTGATCCTTCCAAGCAATTCCATGTTTTTTTACTTAACGTTGGGTTTATTAGTTTTTCTGAGTTAGTATGACTGGAAAGACAGGGGTGGAGAAGGAGAAAATAAGGGTGGAAATTGAAGATTCCATATATTTGATCATAAGAACTGAAGAATCAGGAGAGTCTTCCTTCATGAGAAAATTCCGGTTGCCGGGAATGAATTGCGTCGACCAAATATCTGCGGGTTATATTGACGGAGTATTAACAGTCGACGTTCCCAGGGAAAGTGTGAGGAGGGGATGGTCCATTGACCCTTCAGACCTCATTTCTGATATGGCTAATTTTGGTGCAAGTGCTGCTTGATTTATTTTGGGGTATTTTGGTCAAATAGTGACCCAATTTGTACGGCATATTTTTTATTGAGAAATAATAAATTTTTTATCATCTTAACATATACTCCCAAGAATGAGGACATATGTTCGACGTTATAATAGGTTGGAAAGAATTGCAAAAAAAAAAAAAAAAATTCAATATTATTAATATTATTAAAAATATGTGAGTTTATATGATTGATGTTGAACTCATATATAAAGTAAAAATAAAATATAAATAATTTAGAGAATCATAAATTTTATCAAATTTGGTAGAAGAAGATCTTGATAGAAATTCCCAAAACGGAAAAATTGGACAATATTAGTGGGACCGAGGAAGTATATGTGTATTTTACATCATTATAACATTGAAAAAGATTAATTTGGGAACAAATATTGTATTTAAGCCATTTTTTACTTGGACCAAAATTTTCTAGTTCGGCTTGTCTGATTTGGTAGATGTATGCTCTCTGTAAATTTTACAATTGTAGAAGTCTTGTCTGGTTTGCGAGATATCTGGTTTCTTGTGTATTTACAACTGCAGGATCCTGATCTGGTCAGTTAAAAATTCTTGTGTATTTTTGCTTGTCTATTTTTAATTTTTGGAATTTCTAAAATCAGGGGTTGGGGGCATTAAATGTGGACCATATGAGCATTGAACATCATAATAGATATCATTGAGTATGGGTAGTGAATATATATATGGTAATAGACATGTTTTGCATGACAGTGAACGAATGCATTAAAAAATTTTGTTGTGCAGCGATTATTAACACAAAGTAGTAATATCATCATGGAATGCAATATACTTAATTCAACGTAAAACAATAAGATTATTAAATCTAAAAAAATCTTCAAGTAAATGAGAAGAGAATTAATTTTGGCGGAAGTGCAGTGATTATTACCGGATGTGTATTAAAGTCGTGCATTAATGTCGTGCAGTAACGACAATATAAAGTGCAGTAATTTTAATTGGGCGAAATTAGTGCAAAATGCACATATTTTAAATAAGGGTATTTTCGTCATTCAACCATTAAATATAACCGAAATTTCTTTAATTTTTTGGATTTTCGGTCATAGAAAAGTCTAAAAACTAGTTAGGTCATAGATTGAAAAATTAGTTGAGTTTTAGTCATATTCTAATAAATTTCGCTTTATGTATGTTCTATTGGAGTTAGAGAATATAACGAAGACATCATTCCTTTCATATGTTAATAAAAAACTAAAATAATCGAAACAATAACCAATGACAAAATCACAAACCTCAGTAAACATTTAGCGATAACTTGATCGTGCTAGTTTGTATTCCCACATTCAATTAAAAATTCATTAACTTTAGGAAAATTTCACATTAATAATCCGAACTATTAGCAGTCTTCTCATATTAATCTCAGATATTGATAATTCTAATATAATCCCAAATTCATTGACAATCTTCTCAAATTGATCCAAGTTACCTGTGACCTATTCAGCCAGTAAAAAGCAAACGAAAAAAGAAATTAAAAACCAAAACAAAGGTGAACAACAACGAAAAACACTGTTCATCTTCTTGCTTTGCATCTAAAGTGCAAACGGAACAACAGTTAGCAGCGGGGCCGGCCCAGGGCAAGTGCCAGCGGTGCGGCCGCACAGGGCCCGTAAATTTCGAGGGCCCAATTTTCAATAGTCCCCCCATTAATTACTAATAGAGCCCAATATTTAGATCTCATGCTTCAATTAAAAATTTTAACACTAGGGGATTCGAATCCTGGTTTGTTACTTACCAATGAGGACGCTGAAGTGCTGAACCGGCTCAACCATTTGGTTGATGCAAACATCCTCCCAATTCGTACTTTTATATCATATGAAGTATAATTAAAAACTCATTAGATTCTAAGCCCATGCCATATTGTCATCCACTACAATTATTGATTAATTCGTTACATAATAATAATAACTACTGTTATTTTTTATTGCATGCCATTATTAAATTAACAAACTATTAAATATGTATCAAATTTTCATTACGTCTATCAATTATATTTATGTTAGGGAATAGTTTTATTTTAACTATTAATTTATAATTCAATTTAACAAATAAATGAAGTGTATTTTGTTAGGGAATAGTTTTATTTTAACTATTATGTTAGTGAATAACTTGTATTTTGATATATATGAATTATTATTATTATTGTATCAAAATTTTTACAAATATAATCTTCACTTATATTATATTTCTACCTATTTTAGGAAAAGACCTACATTTTATTTTTGTACAGGGCCCATATTTTCTCAGGGGCCCTAGCTAGTTAGCAGGCTAGGGGACGACCAGCGAAGAACACCGACACCCTCATCTTCCTCTTGACTCTTCTTCTCAGAAGACGACCGAGCCTCCGGCGGTGAAAGTTGAAATCGGCGTGTGAGTTTCCACACGTTTTCTTGAATGGTTTCGCGCCGGCCATGGTGTAGAGTGTTTATATTACTTCTAACTGTCAACCACATCTATATGGCAGTCCTTCAGCACCCCCCTACTCTAGATTCATTGCCGCCGCCCTTCCCCAATACCTTGCTTGCACCAATAATGCACTTCATCGTAGATATACATTGTGCATTATTTGTGCAGTGTGTGTATACTCTAGTCCATAAATAAGTTGAAGTGTTTGGAAGAAAAAGATAGAAATTATAGAAGATGGAGCTTGAAAGGTTGGGGGATGGTGGAGATGTAGTAGTGTCAAAGATGGTATGGGAAATAAAAGGGATACAGAGAAATGATGAGATCGTGACTTGAGGGAAAAGGATGCGGTCGTTTATTGCTCGGTTGCTCCGTCCATTCCTCAATTGTTGTGGCCATTTCTTCTCTGGCTATTGGCTTGATGACGATCGTTCAAAAACAAAGAAAGAAAATATAAAAGATAAAACAAAACTATATTCCAACCAATGAAAATATGACATGTGTGAGGATGACCTGCTGATTTGGTTGATGCACGTCACAGATGTATTTTGAGAAGATCAGGAGTGGCCCTGTATTTTTGAAGGCCTAGGGCGAATAATTCAAAATGAGCCTAAATTTTAAAAAAATTGTAAAAGTTGTTTCTTTTTAAATTACATGCAAAATAATAATATTTGAAGTGTATTTATATTTATTTTCATGTTTCCAGTATAGTATGCATTTGAGAAATGTCTACATTATTTAGCATTAAGAGGATAATTAAGTTGCGTCTCTTTGATAGGACCTTTTTCAATTACAATATCATTTGTTTTGGCATCTAGATTCTAATACAGCAGGGTCATAAATATCCAAAATCAAATGACCAACAATTGACGTTGATACATTTGATCTATCTAATTCATTTTTTGGTTACTCACTATCAATGTTATCAACTCCTAAATTCTGACCTCTTACGACATGATCATTGTTAACTGTTTTGTTTTCGGTTGTTGGATCATTCTTCTCCTTCTGAATTTGTCTTCTTCATAAAAATAAACTTTTCTATTGAACCTTTTTTACTTATGGCAGCATTATCTAATCTTCTCTTCTTCATTTTTTTCTGCCATCCTTATTCCCTCATTTTTATTAAACTTTGAAATTAAATAAGTTTATAGTTTAATTATAATTGAAAATTGAAAATTTTTACCGAACAAAATGAATAAATTATAACACCAACAATCAATAGGTAATAATCAACAATTAAGTGATTAACATGTACTGCGTAATAATTAAACTAATTAAAAATAAACTATTCATAATCATTTATAAACATTAAACAACTATGAATTCAATCAATTTATCAATTAATAAGCAGGTCACATATCCACATGTTTGTATTATTCAAATAAATTAATAAAAGAAAACGGTAATTGTTAAAAATTGATCACATAATCAATAAAGAAAATGTTAAAAACTACTACGTATAATTTTTCAAGTGGAAAACAATGGTAATGGCTTATGGCCAAACATCTGAAGCAGAAGGTCGGAACTCAGAAGGTCAGAAGGTGCACCTAATGACCTGCGTGACTTTACAGCTCTGGTGGTGAAGGGTTACGGAAGTAACTGAACTCAGTTTACGGGATTGAACTTAGCGCGTTACAACGTTAGTTTAGTTACTCCGTGTTTTTGGGGCTTTTGGGCTGCACAAAATCAAAAAAAAAACTTGGGTTGAAAATCAGCCTACTCAAGCATACTATAAAGAAATAATTCTGGGCCTAAAAATTTTACATTTTTTTTGGGCCTAGGGCCACTACCCCACCTGCCCCCCCCCCCCCCCCCCCCAGGGCCGCCCCTGGAGAAGATACCCCTAATAATTTAGATTATATTAGAATTATCAATATTTGGGATTAATATGGGAAGACCGCTAATATTTCGGATTATTTCTGTAAATTTTACCTTAACTTTACATACGGAGTATTGTATTCTTTCATGGTGTTTTAACTATGTCAAACAGTTATTTTAAGTGTGGTAAACGTTTTTTGAATTAATTTTGGTTGTTTAGTTGTGTCAAAAAATGTTTGGTAAAAGGTTTTTTATTTGACTGTTTGCTACGAAAGGGTATTCTGGTCCATTTGGGGTGGTTTTGGGGATGGGGGTGGGGGGGCGGGGGTTAATTAGGAAAAGGAAAAAAAAATAGAAATTGGCCCGGCCCGACCCGGACCCGGCGGCAACCCGTTCCGGTCCCAGGCCTTCCCCCAAACACAAAAGGCGCAACCGGGCCTAGGCCCGGCCCGAGCCCGAACCGGCCCGGCTCCACCCCTAGGGCAATCTCATTAATATTATGGGTCATCTTAATGTGATTTCCTAAAAAAATAAGATGGAACAATCTTAGCGAGACGGAGAAAGTATATATAACACTTTTACTAGTGTAACACCCGGGGCATGCCCCGGTAGTGTTAATTTGATATGACTGAGGTGACAAATGCTAATAAACATTGTGAGCTATTAATAGGATATCATCAAAATTTTGTCAATAATCCAATTCTTTTATTAACTAACCACCATAAATATAATTAAAATTACAATTATAAGTATAATTATAATATCATTTTATTATCATTATAATTATCTTTATTTTTGTAATTACGATCATCATAATAATAAGCTTTATCAATAT